TCAAACCAGTATAGATAAAGGGGAAGTTGCTCACAAAAGAAGGCAGGCTGAGTAGGCCCCCAGCTTAACAGAAGAGATACAACTAAAATAAGTTAAAGAAGTCCTGCCTTTACTTTTAAGCTCATATCCCAAACCCCATAGAAATGCACTGAATGAGGCAAGGGAAGAGCTTTGTGGTTGTGTGACATGGAATTGGCATGGTGCTGGAATGCTGTGAAATGGGAAACGTGAATCCTTTCCTTAACTTATGTCATTTTGTCCCAAACTGTACTTCCTAGTTTAGCATCTTCATCTTTGGTGATCTGGTCTCTGGCTGGATCCTTAGCTTCAACATCTACCACCTATATCCCTTAGCTTCTATCGCTCAAGCCACGCTGAAGTATTTGTCATTACTTAAATACCTGGTCCTGTTTTATATCTCTTAGATACATGCTACAATGCTGTCTCAATAGTCTGTAACTAGCAATCCTACTTGTTCTTCAAAATTCAGTCTAAATATTGTTTCCTCTAGGGTATCTTCCCTGAATCTGATTTTTATACTCATATGCCCCCCTAGTATCCTATTCATGCTGCCATTAGAGCACTAATAAAATTGTAATCATTGATTTGCATATTTATTACTTACTATAAGTCTCTCAAGGTTCCAGATCTTGTCTCATTCAAGTTGGCATCCCTAGCACGTAGCACAATACCTGGCCCACAGTTGGCACAAGATACATGATGAATGTGTGAATAAATTAATTAAATGTCAAAGGAAAGAAGCTAATCCATGATGACCTACATTGGTTGTGACTTTTGGCAAATCATAAACTCTGTCCAATCATTCAAAGGTAATCATTCGGAAATAATTGCTAATCAGTGCCAGGGGAGGATATGTTCCATGGGAAGGCTCTCTTGTGTTTGATGAGTTAAAACAGTAAGGACCTTGCATTCTGAGGGTGATACATTAACCAGAGTGATATGTTAGCCAGATACCAAATAAGGCCATCCATTTGACTTATGCAGTACATCTGATTCTTCCTGCTGTTGCTCACAGAACCCAGGTTAGGGCTTCTGCATCTTTGTGAATGATCATTTTGTCTTGCAACAGACACCTCAGTCTGTTACCTCAGTCACTACATTTCTAGTTTGCAAAATTCTTGGCAGCCTAGTTTATAAACCTAAGAAGAAGTAAACCAACTTAGCCCACAAAAATATTTTAAGATGCTTAAAATACAAGCTTTTCTTTGAAATACAGTGAAGACACCAGATTATTATGAATGTTCAAATGGTTGTTTTTTCCAGTTAGATTGATATGAACAGAAAAAGAAACAGGAAATTAATACCGAAGACTTGCAGGACAATAGAAAAGTGTTTAACATGATCTCAAATAGGGTAATTTGATCTTTCCTATTATTATCTTGTATGTACCTACAAATCAGAACAGGAAAAGGAATTCTTGGGAAAAAAATTAACTAAGATAAAATAAGATTGCATTCATCACTGAAGTTCAACTACAAAGAGGTTAAAGCTGTCCTGTAAACTCCAGATAAAAGGCTCATAACTCATTTCCACTGGAGGGTGATAAGACAAGCTGTTCTTTCCATGAGTGGATGAAACGAGTGTAGTCTTGTAAGAAGAAAACTAAAGATGAGTAAAACAAACTCCTTCTACTACTGGAAGATGAACTATACAGTTTAAATGATGTGACATTACTGTATTGTTTGACCTTTTCTGATAAATAGGTAGAATTATTTCTTCTCAAATCTTCACTGTGTAAATACACAATTTCTTTCACATTTTATAATTTTTAAATTCGTTAATTATTTACATAGAGTTTCTTTTATTTTTATGTATTTCTGTGTGTGCATGTTATGGGTGTTTATTAACTATTTTCTTTTCCATCCAATTAATAACAGCTTATATGTGTTTTGCCTCTGCAGCTTCTGAATGCCTATAAATTTATTACACATTCCTTCCGTTGTTGCAATAATGATAGAATAGGTGAGATTTTCATGTATAGATTATTTAAAGCTTTTAGGTTCAAGCAATGCCAAAAACCAGAGAGAAATACCAAACAAAACTCAATATGCTACTATAAGTCTCCGAAAGAATATCACATCTGGACGTTAAAAAAAATAAGAATAAAAAAATTCATTCACCAATTATGTTGGTTTTCTGAATATATAATTGTTAAACTCTATCATAGCTTGGTTTACTAAGCCAAAAACAAATTAACAGCCTGCATAAAGCTTCCTAAACAAGAATAAATGTCACAGTCTGCAATATGAATAGGCTTCCTTTAAGATCTATCATATTTTGACTTAAGGCTTTTTCAAATATTTGACAGAGTTTTTACTATACTGCTTTTATCCCTAAAAGCATTTTGACAAAAGAATAAACTAAAGCTAGCACACAAGCAAGGGAATAATTTACATACAAATTGGGCATCAAATTAGAGTTTTAGAAAAATTTTATGCTGGTATGTCAATATCTCCAATATTCATTGTTTATATTAGAATCACTAACATTTCTACAGGTGAATAGCAATGGTATTAACATTTTTCACTTATCCAACAAATGTCTCTTGAGTGTACAGGAATTAAAGGTTAAGCCACATCGCCACTTACACAAGCCTCATTTCCAAGAAGTATATAGTCCAGAATAGATGATTAGAGAAGTTTATAATAGCTATTAAATAGTATAGCTCAAAATATGGAAATCAGTAAAATATGGCCCAGAGGCGAGACAACTGTTTTTGTAACATAATTAATTTAATAATTTAATTATAATTTATAATTTAATCAGGACAGATCCACCTAAACTCATTTGTTTAGGTATTGCCTAAGCTTGCTTTCATGTTACGTAGAGCAGAATGAATACAGTGGAAAGTGCATACATAGCAAGCAGGAAATATTTACTATCTGGTCCTTTACAAGAAAGTTCACTCATCCCTAATGATGATAACAGTAACTACCATATGAAGTTCAAACCAAATGACAAAATTGTTCATAGAAGAATGATATTTTTGCTAGGGAGTTATCATTTAAGCTGAACTTTCAATTATTAGTAAGAATTTTAATGAACAGATTCATTGATAATAGCCATCCCAGAAGAAACAAAACAAACAAAAAGTCGTATCAAAGACATACAAGCAATGATATTTGATACATTTAGAAAATACCATGTTGTAGAGTTTGGTTGGGTGATAGGCTGGAAGAAGTGAATTCTAGTGAGAGTCACATGTCTGATATCTGGCAGATTCACCGCAGGACAGTCATACCAGTTGTTTACGGCTAGACTCGGCAGTGATGGCCTCTTTCCTGAATTTTTTTACCAGTTCTTAGATATTCTTAATATCATCCCTGATAATACCTATCAAAACCAATGAGAGGTAGCCAAGAGAGCATTTGAAGGACAATTTATAGTCTAAAGTAAATTTATCATAAAACATAAAAGATATAGCATTGATCTCAAGAAGCTAGAAAAAGAACAATAACAAAACCTGAAGTATTCTCACATGTTGTTTATGGGAAAGTGAATCAGTAGAGCTGTGTCAATGATAGTGGTAGGGCGGAGATGCATTTAGCCTGATCTATAAAAATTCAAGTGTCCTTTCGACTCTGCAATTCTACTCCTAAAATTTGATTCATGGACATGCCCCTATACATGTACCAAAAGATAGCAACTGGTGTGTTCACTGCAGCATGATTGTATGATCAACATTGGAAACAATCTTAGTATTTATGAAGTTTAATGTTTAACAGTATATCCTGACTCTAGAATACCATCTAGTTGATAAAACAATTATGTAGATCCACGAGCTCTCTCTCACACACACAAATGCCCATAATATGATAAAAAAAACAAGTTACTGAACAATATCCATAGCCTTACAATTTTCTTGGAAATTATATTTTTGTATGTAGCTAAATGTGTATATACATGTGCATAAATATATGTATGTGTGTACATGAATGCATGTGTGTATGTGTGTATACATGAGAAGGGGAGGAAAAAATATAACGAGGATGAGGTTTTGAAGTATATACAAAACTGTTAAAAGTGGTTGAACTTTTGCAAGAGGAATCTTACATTTTACTTTATATATTTATGGTTTTTCTCAACCAGAATATTATTCTGTAGTTAAATGAAATAAATGAAGAACAAATAAAACTACGACAAATATCTCTGAATGTATACATTTCCTACTATTTCAGATATGAAGTTATTAGATGAAAGCTTATAAACATTTTAACGTTATTGATAAATAATGCCAGACTGTTTTTCAATGGTGCCAATAGTATCTAATCTATCTGTTTTCTTTTTCAAGTTAAATGTTAGCAAGGACTATGTTGAGACCAGAGATTGGCATGCTCCTAGGCATAAAAGCTTCAGACTATAAACTTTGGAGCTCTACCTTTATGGCCACAGTCATTTAGAATGTTTCCCAATCCTGGGTTCCCCAAAGCTAAATCCAAATGGAGGATCCAGTGATTTTTGGCATATTTCTTACTGATCTCATGGCAGCTACTGGCATCACTTTACTGAGCAAAGGCACATGACATTTTTAGGTACTTAAGGAAAGAGCAACTCTAATTCAGAAAAGCACGACACAAGACAACACTCATGTTCGATACATGAAGTTAGGCTTGCTTCACTTCATATAACCCAAATTGGGACACAACTTGAATACTTAAATCAAAGTCAAGGCCACTTGAGAAACCAGCTCCTGGCTTCAACCCCCCAGTAGGTTTTGTGCACACCATATCTGGTTCCCTCCACCCCTGTGCACCTGAGATAAAAACAGGATGTAATGCTGAAACCCAGGGTACCTGTAATTAAACCAGGGTCAGAGCCATGGTCTCTTAACCTTTAAGCAACAGCTTTATCCCTCCCTTAGATATCTTTATAAACCTCAGCCTCTATCACAGTGATGGAAAGCATGAATTCTGGAGCCACACCAACTCTATATGCCTGCTGCCTTCCAGCAGTGATCTTTAAGTAAGTCAGACGCTCTTTTCCTTCCTGACTGTCTGAAGATAGGCCGCCATCATGAACGGCACCGTAACTATCCACACTAGAAAGTTCATGACCAACCGACTACTTCAGAGGAAACAAATGGTCATTGTTGTCCTTCACCCCGGGACGGCAATGGTGCCTAAGACAGAAATTCGGGAAAAACTAGCCAAAATGTACAAGACCACACCGGATGTCATCTTTGTATTTGGATTCAGAACTCATTTTGGTGGTGGCAAGACAACTGGCTTTGGCATGATTTATGACTCCCTGGATTATGCAAAGAAAAATGAACCCAAACATAGACTTGCAAGACATGGCCTGTATGAGAAGAAAAAGACCTCAAGAAAGCAATGAAAGGAATGCAAGAACAGAATGAAGAGTCAGGGGGACTGCAAAGGCCAATGTTGGTGCTGGCAAAAAGTGAGCTGGAGATTGGATCACAGCCAAAGGAGTAAAGGTGCTGCAGTAAAGGCTACCTGTGTCCATTTTGGATTTTTCACGAGCAGATTAATAAACTAAAAACTTTCAAAAAAAAAAAAAAAGTAAGTCAGACTTCAATTTTCTAATGTGTAAAATGAGGATACTAATAGGATAGTGAGTCCTATCATATCTTTGTTCATGGAATCCAAATATTCAATCCCATAACATACGAGAAGGTATTATTGCCAGATTAATGAAATGACCAAAGTTAGCTAGCTGGCTAATAAGTTCAAGGAATCTGGAGCCAACTGCCAACCACATTACATCTAAACTTGTAGGACACAGTATCATGGGATTTTTACCACAAGGTTGCTATGAAGACTGAGTTAAACACCAAGAATAGGGAGTTGCATAAAGTATGATGAGTATATAATGTTGCCTATTATCCATTATGACTTCTGTTACTATCACCACTCCTACACCTCCACCACCACAGCACTGCAAAGCAGACAAAGCCAAGAAAGAAAATTTGCCAATGACCAAGCAACCAGAAGATGATAAGCAATAACAGAAAGGATATTTCTGTGTATTTGTTAAAGGATAATCTATCTAATTTGTGCTGACTACTCTCCACTCATCCCAAATTTTCCTTTTGCCGAAAGTCAACTGCTAAACCCTGGGAGGGAATAAGGCCAAGACTTGAGGCCGGCGTTCAAGAGAGACTCTGTAAAAGTGATTGGATTTATATTAAGCATACTATCCATCTATAAACCAGTCACCTGGTTTGCCACACATGGCTAGCTCTGGAGACCAATGCTGTACTCTAGTAAGCATCATGCCGTTTTAACAAATATTGACAACCTGAAGTCTGTGTACCATAAGGTATAGAATTTTGTTCCTACATGAGAGTTTTAGGATTTCTGAGGGGAAAAAGTGCTGTTTTGTGACTGGAAAACTTGAGGGCAGCAGTGGCCACATGACCCTTACTAATATCGCGACATTTAACCTGGTACTGTTGCAAATAAATCATGTCACCATAGACTCCAGTGACCTATGCCTCAAATTTCCTCGTTCAAGGCAGAAGTCCCAGACCAGAATGTGGAAAAGCAATACACACAGTGCCTTCATGCCCATGGACATGCAAGTTACTCTTGGCAAATATAGTTATTGTGGAATTAACTTCCTTTCTCTACTCGAGGCAGTGAGTTTCATAATACAATGGCAATAAAAGAAAGCAATCAGAGCCGAGGGCAGTGAGGACTTTTACATGTTTCCTACCTCTTTCTTGTTGTGCATTAAACAAGACCAGATGTTTCAACAAAGAAATGAAACCAAAGTCACACTACATTTGATTTGTGGGACCACCCTTACTTGAAATGCCATCTCATCGTTCCAAGGTTTGAAAAATGATGTGCATAACAAGCAAGATAAGAAATGTGAACATTCCTTCAAAAAAGTCATTCATTATATGATCCACAGATGGTAAGAAAATGCTTTCCAAGTAGGGATAGAGAAATGTAACGATTATTTGCTTAGGGATTGAGACAAGGCAGACTCTCTCATCCTTCTCCATGCCTGTGTCCTGAAATGATGGAGTACATGTGAATGGCACTGCAGGGGCAGTGAAGTTAAAGGTGAAAAGCAGAACTGAATCCACAAAAGCCAGGAGAAGAGTGAGCAGAGCAGATCAACGCAAAAGATCCTGGGATTATATAGAGTGTCCACAGTTTCCAGGGAAGCACAGTTCTACGAAAGGTTAATACAGGCAGTCACAGCACATGCGCATTTAATTTATGGCACTTCATCTCTGTATTTGTGGATGGACTCCTTAGGGGAGAGAAAAAAAAGGAGAGTGAAGGGAAAAGATGACAGAGAGAGAAAAGGAGAGAGATTGACAAAGGGACAGATAGAGACATATAGATATACAAAGAAAAGGAGAGAAAAAGATACACAGATATAGATGCAAAAAAAAAAAAAAAAAAAGAGAGAGTGCAAGAGTACAGAAAGAATGAGAAGCAATTAGTGATTTAAATTTGTGGTCACTTACTAATTCCACCACTATTTCATGAATACATTTATAAAAAAAAGTAAACTCAAGTCCTGAACTATGAATCTGCCTTCCCCTGATCACTCTTGGTTCTCTTGTGTCCCTACGTAAGTGAGCCTCTTGTCAGGTTGAGATCAGTTCAAGCTTTTAAAAATACAGCATGTATTCCTCAAAAAGCGCATTCATAAATTATCTTATGTGCAGCAACAACAACAAAACAGAATGCTAGAAAAAAAAAATAACTGGCTGTGTTGGATTTTAAATTTCTGATGGTTGCCTTAAAATTCAGAATGTAACCCCAGTATTAGATGAACACTAGACGTGTTATTCTCCACAAGACTATGTGTTCACAAAGTTTGGGAAAGGGTGGGTTCAGGAAATTTAAACAGGTGTCCTGCCTTCAGACCTTCTCAAATCCCTTAGTATACTATCCAGCATTAGGACTCTCTACCATGCAGGCGGACTATGGGAAACCAAACTGACTTGATTATAGAACCCTTTTCTTTTTCAGAGTGTGCTTCAAAGCACAAGCACACTGTGGAGCACACTTAGGAATCTCTGATGCAACTCAAGCATTCTCACTTCCAAATAAGGAAAACAAGCCCTCTCTAAGGGCATACATCTGGCTATCCAAATGCCGCAACAGGATGGATGGCCCTGATTGATTTAATGATTGCTATGGATATGTTTTATTTCTTCATACCCTTATTCCTTCACCCCTAGGTCACTAAAATGGCCAATCCCCCTAATCTTGTCTTCTGCTAGTCAAGTGTATATGTTAAAATCAAGCAAACCTTTCTAAATGTAGATTTCATTGCAATGCTCTTATGCCTGTTACTCTATAGTGGCTTCCAATAGCCTATAAGAGTAAATCTCAAACTTTCTCCAAATACATGAATTACATAGTAAATCTCAAACTTTCCCCAAACACTTGAATCTAAATTACATGGCACCCCAGGAACACATGCCATATTCACATATCTTCTAGCATAATGCCAAAATTTTTTGGTGGTTTGCATACTGTGGTATGAGACACAAACTTAGAATATCAAGTGCTTATTTCTCAACCAATCTGGCAGTGCACCTCACACTCAGACCAATTTTCTGTTCTACCTATGTCCTTCTCTCCTTGAAGGCTGTCTATAGAACATGTAGCAGTCTACAGAAAACATTATTAGACTCTTCAAACCTAGGCTGATCGGAGATCTCAATTTCAATTCATAGAAGAGCTATTTTGGAGAACTGGAGAATGATATTCTCCTGTCAGAGCTCTCCGGAGATAATAAGAGAACCTAACAAACAAACCCACCTCAAATCTGTTTGCACATAAAAGATAATGTCTAGCTTTGCTTATTAGCTCTGTTTATCAACCAGTGCCATGCTCACTGGCCCCATTAACCTACTGAATCAAGGTTATGATTTGAAAAGAAATGCCTATGACATGGACCACAGGAGCAGTAGCACTCAGGAGTGATAACACAGTAGCACTGTTGATATATAACATCAGAGATAGATTTGGACTCACTGGGAGTTGGACTGTGCAAACTAAAAGGTTTTATGTTTTGTTTTGGTTTGCTTAGCTTTGCTTTACTTTTATCTAATAACAGAAGAACTCAGTGGAAACAAAACACTAGTTAACCTATGTAAGAAAAATAGAATAACAGATGAACGTCAGAGCCATCAACATGGACGAATATGCCAGATGCTGCTCCCTGAAGTGCCACGTGACAATAAATTTTCATCACATCAATTTACCCCAAGGAGCACATCTTGAGTGATTTTCCCCTCCAGCGTTAGCCTAATAACAACTTGGAAGGTGGGGCTGAAGGAATTCACTCCTGTGACTTTCTTTGGTTTCATGTTCATCAGGAAGAGAAAATCTTCCCATAAAACAAACAAGCAAATCTTAAAGTGTTAGCACACATATATGATTTACAGGCCTCTCATCCTTAACCACGGTTTTCAGAATTTCACTAAAAATAAAACATTTAAAAAAATACAGAAGATTGAAATCTCAGATTCAAGTGTATTTAAATATTTCAGTGGAAAGGATCCGATTCTACCATACATGTATTTCCCATGCATTTAATAACAGTTTCCTGTGTTTCAAAATCCTTAATTATTGAATTATAAAGCCTGAAGTTTTACTAGAAAGACATGTTTGACTTTGCCTCTCCAGATATGACCTTATCCGGGTCCCCCCAGCTTATTCAGAAGATGACCTACTTTACTGAGATTAAAGTTTTCAGACATGATCTATTTCTACTCCATCCCAACACAAAATTTATCTTTGTTCTTATCACTGTCTCTTTCTTCCTCTCTTAAAGAAAGAAGTGATTATGGATTAGGTTTTCTAAGGACAATTGCTCCATCTGTGCCCTTGATCTGTTCAATATCTGCCCCCTCGACCCAGGATTTACCTTTAATGGCATTTTTTTTTTACCCACGTTCTCACATCTCCTATTCTTCACTGCCACCTCCTCCTTCGACTCAGATCACAAATATGCTCAAGCCTCCCTATTTCACAAACACGTTCCCTTAATTATGTTATCCCACATCAGTATCTGCCCCTTTCTTTTCTAATTTTAAATCTCAAACTTTTTTTAAAAAAGTAGGCTATACTAATGCCTGTAGTTCTCACTTCTAAGTTTTCACCCCCGCTTCACCTGACCTCCAGCTGAAACTATTTTCCTGAAGATCAACAATGACCTAAAATTATTAAATGCAATGCATCTTTTTCCTCAGTCTTCAGATACCTTAAACTCTTTCCAATATATGAAATCACTAACAACTCCTTTTGGCATGACATTTCATATTCCCTTTGCTATAATAATATTCATTTCTGTTTCTTCCATCTCTCTGACAAATTCTTACCATCACCACCCCCACCGCATATTCCCTAGGATTCTATCTTTCAATTCTTTTATTTCTGTAATATCCCTCTTAATCTTGTTTGTGCTATGATGATCACTGCCAAATATCAGCAAAATGACAAAATAAATCATAGTACCCACCTTATAAGTTATTGTAAGAATTTAACGAGTCAGTACATTATGATACAAATACCCCCAAAGG